ATTTATGTTTCCTAGTAGAGTTATATCTTGGAAGAGTGTCAAACAAACCTTAACTGCTACTTCTACTTTGGAGGTTGAGTTCGTTTCATGTTTTGAGGCTACCTCACATGGAGTATGATTGAAGAGTTTCATTTCTGGGCTTAGAATTGTGGACTCAGTTTCTAGGTCGTTAATGATATATTGTGACAATTATGTTGCTGTCTTTATGGCTAAGAATAACAAAAGTGGAAGTCAAAGTAAACACATCGACGTTAAGTATCTAGCCATAAGAAAACATGTTAAAGAAAAAAGTGGTCATTGAGAACATTAACATTGAGCATATGTTAGTTAATCCTTTAACTAAGGCATGCCACCAAATAAATTTAAGGATCATATTGTCACTATGGAACTTGTTTCCACTTTGTATAATTTTCTTTGTAAGAATGATTTTAATAAAACTCTATTAAGTTTGATATTTCTCATTTTGTTGTGTACACATTAATTTTAATTATTCCGAGAAATATCACTAAAGTTTGGACCTAGAATAAACATTGGGTTTATTCATTAAGAAATTCGACTAAGTGTTAAGACATGATCCATTGTGATACATGGAATATATAACTCAACTGTAAGAGAAAATATCGCTATGATTCATGTATATATTATGTTTTGCCTTTAAGTTATGCTAGGCAATATGAACCAAGTATGAGAATGTGAATAGTTAATTAAAACTGCATTAAGCATTTTTTTGGAATCCTTAAAGTGGTTCATAGCCTACCACTATGAACGTTCCCACTTTAGAAATTCCATATTTTTTGAACGTGGGATATGACATTACTTTTAGGTGGTTTTTGATGGTCAAACCACACTATAAATATGAGGTTAGCCAAGGTCCCTAAGCACCAACACACTGCATTCCAAAGCATTTCATTTGAGAGCATTTAGAAATCTATTCCATCTAAGTGAGATTTTGAGTACTTAAAAGATCCTTGGAGGTTTTAGTTTTTGTGCAATCAAGTTCGAAATGCTCGACAGTGGTTCACGGTGGTTCACGGTGGTCGATGGTGGTATGATGTATTAGACGGTGGTGCAATCGGATCTCGGATTTCGACATAAGGTGTAGGAAATGGCTAGAGGTACTTATAACGATCTTTTCCCCTACGTTTATGCTGAATATATGAAAGCATGTCTAACACTATTCCCATATCTCTGGGAATTCTAGACAATAAAACGTAAATACATAAGCAAAGGTTGAGAAAGGGGTGGCTATTCAACCATGTCCATGGCTGACGCATCATCAACCAAATGCAAAATAGCCGCAAAAGTATCTTGTGAAGCACTAGGGGCAGTACATGGTGGTTTACCATTGGTAGTGAGACTACCCTTGTCTCCTACAAGGATACTCAAAGGTAAATCTGGATTTAGATTAGCATCAATAGCAACAATAGAATGCTTACTAGGACTCAAGCCCGCACCCAAGTTTCGGGTTGTGAGAGACATTGAAGAACTCGCCTGATGCATTCTTACATCACTGTTGGGAATGAATTTAGGAGAGGTCGGCTTTAGAGGTATTAATGGTGGTTTTCGGGCGGAATAAGCTTCTTTCCCTTTAAGCTTCATTTTGCTAATTTGAGGCACGATCTGAGGACCTTGTGAGGCGGCAGAAGATTTTCCTGGTTTTGATTTCTTCACATACTTTCAAGCCTGCTTGCATGATCGGAGTGTCAGCCGCATGGGTTATCTCCACCTCCATTGTGAGTAGACTGAAAAAAGACGAATCTATTTGGATAGCCCCAGACTCATTTTCTTGATCAACAGATTTCTTTTGAAGCATTCTTTGTCGTTTTTTAACAACCATCCATTTATCGAAAGCCTCTTCCGGAGATGGAGAGGGTTTTGACTGAACAGACTATTGCACAGTGGTTGTTTGGGGTTTAAGGGACTGCACATTTACCTTTGGTTCAATTGATTTAAGGGATAAGTAATGTCTTTAACATGTCCATAAATTCATTGGAGGATGCACATTGATATTAGGATGGCCACGTGGCCATCCTGAAATTTCCCGAAATTTGAATTTTATTCTTTAAAAGACGAAATTTTATTTTTTAAAATATATGTGTCCACCTTAAAATTTTATTGTATCAAAAAATTTATATTATTAATATATATGCACATACCCTCAAAAAAAAATTATAGATCCGCCAATGCATAAATTCCATACCTAAAATTGTTTGTGGGAAGGGACATATTCTACAAGCTGTGTTCTGCCATTGATATCAATTTTATAGATGAGCGGCTTTCGTTAATTAATACTTACCGCCATGCTAGCGAATCGTCCTCGGCGACTATAGTCGGTTTGCTAATCAATTTTGACCACTAAACCAAATCTATTGTCAGTCACCTCAATCATACTTCGCTTGTAACAAGTAATCTGCAAACCCGATAACCTAACCCAAGCCACGATTCTGCTTGGATGCGATTGAGTTGGGCAAATATCAACAGACCACGGCTCCATTGTCAGATAATGACCGAAAATAGTCCACGGACCATTCGATAAAACTTTTAGAAAGTTTCACAAGAAAATAATTGTTTTCAATGTCGATTAATTTAATGGGATGAGACAACTTCCATATGCTATAGATACGAGTATGGAGCGTGTTGACGTATTGTAGCCAATTTTACGTCTTAGGATCTTGACGATCAAAGTAAATCCATGCTTTTAATAGCCAAATCCCGAATTCGATCAGAAAAGTCGATGAAAGGGATTCAATCTCTTTCCCCAACACATATCATCTTCCAGCAATTCAATATCTCTTCATCTATTTGGTCTGTCGAAGAGTTTGGTAGGACACCAGTAACCATATCCGTATAAGAGACTTGGGGCTTCGTTACTACTGAATCATCACAGTCCATGGGGAGAGAGGTCTGCACGGTGGGCGGATCAGGGGGGTTGGATCACGCCGGTGAGGCTTTTTCAGATCTCTAGCAGTTTCGAGGGATTCCGAGATTCCAGGAGCGTTTTCCATCAATTCATTAATTTAAAATTATGTAAAATTATTATAAAAACACGTAAAATACCAAATAAAATTAAAAGTACATATCTAAAAGAATGGTACAGGATATGAAGAGTAGATTCCTAACGCAGAGTGTCTTACATAGACGCAATACTGGGAACAACAATCAGGTGGATGGTATGGTATGGTCGATTTGGATATACCAGCTGGGACGCAGCCTAACAGCACCCTTGTAATGGCAAATAAAGGTGTCCCAGTTCTAAATAAAAGCAACATTGTTTGTGTCATTGAACGGGACCAAAACAACATTTATTCCACTTAACAAGGGGCATGTGAACATTAAACAAAGGATTCCAACAGACTGAAACATTACATTTACCTTGTCAAGGGATGAATCCTTATTATTAACTCAAAGAAGAGATTTCAAATCAATTTTTAAATAGCTAAAACAAATAAATAATAATTAGGGACCAGGAATGCATATGCTTCTGCCTTTTCCCTTTGACTTCACTACTCCCTTTGATTCCCCACTAACACATCAGTGCTTTTACTTCAATATGGGGGACCATTCTTCTTCTTTTCATACTTTTAAACAAAATCAAACAGTTTACTTGGTCTGACAAATATAACCCAACGTTCATTCTTGGTTTTAATGAAACTGAGGGCTTATTTTTCTTATAAAACCAAACATTCATTAATGAAAGAATTAACATGCTTGCAGCATCCTAGTCAACTGGATTGGCATTCTAGAGTGGTGTGGGAGAAAGTGATGGGTGGTGATGGGATAGTTGATGTCCACTGCCCCCCCCCCCCCCCGCGGAAAATCCCCAGAAAATAAACATTACTATATAAATTCCTAAAATATCGATCATATTACACTATATATGACTGCAATTCATTTCTAGTTGCCGACACGGACACTTAAACAAAGGATTTACAATAATACTGAAGCTTGAAAAACGATTAACAATGCTTTGTTTAATTTTTCAAGGGTTGTAAAAGTGACCACCGCAGCTGCATTTCCAACCAATAGGCTTGTAATTGGAGTATTGGTTACCTGATGGGTCAAAAAACTGCACGGGATTCGTGACAGCTGCTCCTGGTTTGAAGCGGTCATGGTGGCTGCCGGGCGATGTGGGAACTTAAAACGCCATGCAAAGCTGACAGCTCGGAGGGATCGATCCCAGTCTTGTTTTCTCTTCAAAAGATGAACCCTGTTGACAAAAATCAACGGAAGAAGGTATAAAATATATGGAAAGAGAGAAGAATGTTTATGGGGTGTTGTATGCTAACCGGAGAAGGGGAGTTTGCAGGTTGAAAACGGTGAAGTGAAGATGCTGAAGAAAGGAGGAGGAGGAAGAAGAAGAAGGTAAGGAGAGAAGGAATAAGTGAAGTCATGATAATGATGATGAAATTAATAACAGTGAAAATCAGTCTTTTATTGCAACAACCGAGAAAAAGAATCAGTGGAACTCTCAACTGCAGAGTACAAAATAAACTCCACCAACAAAAGCAAGAAAGACAGCAAACTGAACTGGTTTACTTCATTTACACATTTATATTCGACTCTGAACTTGTTTCATACGTAAATATATATAAATAACAAAAATTAGGTATGGATTTTAAATGAGTGTATCTTAAAAGGTAAAATGGTAGTTCAATATTCAAATATATCATACGGAGCAAATTCGATTAAATTCATGTAATGTTAAGTTAAGATACCCAAATCAAATTCACTTGGCAGTTCAAACTGTTTGGACTTAACAATAATTAAATTAAATTTAAATAATTTACCATCACAAATATCTAGTTTATACAAATATAGAGAAAGAGCATGAATCAATTTAGCTCAGTGATTAAAGGAACCGTTGATGTTTTTTAGAGGTCACGGGTTCGAGCACTAACGACTATAACAGAGTGATTGAGCATTCATTGTCAAATGATTAAGAATATTTAAAACAATTACTTTTTCCCGAAGAAAAATGTCGGAAGATATTCCGGATGACCTTTACTTTTTCCTGGATTTTAGTAAAATGATTTGGAGGAATCCATATATTAGGCATGGTTACCCGAGTACCTGTTATATATTGTTCACGTTTTGATGATGGTGTTCTAATAATTCCACAGATCAAAGCTTTTCATCTTTATGATTGCTTGAGAGCAAACAAGTCAACTTCAGCATGGGGACTTGAAGCTCGTGTACCCTTTTTAGATAAAGAGTTCATCAACGTTGCAATGAGTATAGATCCTGAGTGGAAAATGGTACGATGTTTCTAGATTTGTCATTATGATGGGTCATTACTTTAATGTTGAGAAAATTCGTGTCATATCCATCCATAATGGAATAAACTAGACAAACAGTGTTTCCTGCATGTTATTGTTTCTGGTTTTAGCTATCCATTTTTGGGGATAACATTTCACATTGTAGGGGCGATGTCAATTTCCACTCTTAACCGTAATATATCTTCTAGGTGTACAAGGTGGTAGTCAGTTTTCTAGGTTCTTTTATTCAATAATTAGCTGATGCAAATGATATGAGGTATCAGTTGACCACTTAGTTAGTAGTTACTATAAAGGAAGAGTTTTAGAATTTAGTTACATACTTTGACCCCTTTTTTTCTATAAAGAATGCACACTTATGGTTAGTGCCATTCAACTTTGTTGCAGATCAGGCCTGATCTTGGGAGGATTGAGAAGTAGGTCTTATGTAATGCATTTGACGATGATCAGAAGCCATATCTGCCTAAGGTTGGTGTATCTTCTTTCGAAATATTCCTGAAATTTATAAAATTTATTGGGGCATTATCATTTTATATTGTCCTCGTTTCTTTGATTATATTTCTTCTATGTATTAATGTTTCAATATGATTTGTTATGGAAAACTTCTTGGAAGATTGAAACTTCTTGTTCCCTCTGTTTCAGCACATTTTATGCAGACAGAAAGAGCAGTTCAGTGATGGAGTTGGATACGGTTGGATTGATGGTTTGAAGGACCATGCGAGAAACAGGTAGGCATATTTGTTGGCGGTTATTCTGGGAGACATTTTCAATTTGGTTGCGTAGTAAGAACCTCTTGTTTTACTAACTTGACAGGTCACTGATGCAATGTTGATGAATGCAAGCTTTGTTGGATCATAAACTTGATCTATTATGGGAGCCTAAACCCAAACCCAAACTAAATTGATGTCATTGCTTACATCAATTAAATAAAGATGTCATTGGTTACATCAATTTAGTTAGGTGAGAGTTAGGTATTTGTAGACTTTATTGGTTTAAATTATTTTATTTGTGTGGTGTAGGATTGTTCTTAAGTAGTATAAATACTCCCTCCCCATTTTAGTTTAAGCATTAAGAAAAATTAAGAGATTCTAAGTGAGTGAAGAAGCAAAGTCTTATAAGAGTGAGTTGTAATTCTTATTTTTGAGTGGGAGTGCTCTTGTAATATTTATTTGAGTTTCAATAAAAGTTGTTTGTGTGAGTGTTTTATTTCCACCAAAGTGGTATCAGAGCGAGTTGGAAAGATTGAAGGTCTCGACGAGAAGAATCCGACGCCGCCAGAATTTTCTCAATCTGAGTTCTGACGCACCACCACGCACCGCCGGAAGACTGCTACCAGAAAATCGAGTTGACTCGCAGAGTTGGGCCGAGTCAGTCGAGTTGGAGCCCCTTGACCAAGTTGTCCAAGTCCATCCCAAGGTTTTTCGGCATTCCGGATTCATCCGTGCAATTGGATTTTACAAATTCTCATTATATTGAGAGATATGGAAAATGGTATAACACATTTCCAAGTTCCGACACTCAACAATAACAACTACGACAATTGGAGTATCAAAATGAAGGCACTTCTTGGATCACAAGATGTGTGAGATATCATAGAGAAAGGTTATAACGAGCCTACGGATGATTATGCTTTTACTACTCTTACACCAGATCAAAAGACAACTTTGAATGATTCAAGAAAGAGAGACAAGAAGGCTCTCTACCTCATCTATCAAGCATTAGATGATAATGGTTTTGAAAAGATTTCGAGTGCAAACTCTAGCAAGGAAGCGTGGGAGAAGCTGCAAACCTCTTACAAAGGATCCGAGCAAGTGAAGAAGGTATGTCTCCAAACATTAAGAGGTGAATTCGAATCTTTACACATGAAAGCATCTGAGTCTATTTTAGAATATTTCTCAAGAGTAGTAGTTGTTTCTAATCAATTGAAAAGAAATGGTGAAAAGTTAGAAGATGTGAGGATAATATAGAAGATACTCCATTCGTTGGATCCCAAATTTGAGCACATAGTCGTGACGATTGAAGAAACTAAAGACTTGGAAGAAATGACGATCGAGAAACTCCAAGGATCATTGCAAGCGTACGAAGAGAATCATAAGAAGAAGCATGAGTTTACTGAGAAACTCCTCAAGGTGCAACTCAAGGATATGCATGAAAGTCAACGCAATGATAGAAACCAACGTGGCCAAGGAAGAGACAGAGGCCATGGATGAGGTGGAAGTTGAGGTCGTGGACGATACTGGAATTACAAAAACAACAATTCCAACAACAACAATGAGAAAGGAGAAAGCTCAACACGAGGCCGTGGAAGAATTAATCCGAACTCAAAATATGACAAATCTCAAGTTTGATGTTATAATTGTCAGAAGTTTGGGAATTATGCTTCAGAATGTAGATCTCCCAACAACATAATTGAGGAAAAGGTCAACTATGTGGAGGAAAAGACAGATGACAAAGAAACTCTTCTTCTAGAACGAAAGGAAACTAATGGTGGCCAAGCAAATTCCTGGTATCTTGACAGTGGTGCAAGTAATCACATGTGTGGAAGGAAAGACATGTTCGTGGAGCTAGACGAGTCAGTAAGCGGAAATGTTTCGTTTGGAGATGATTCCACAATAGCAATAAAAAGGAGAGGTAACATTCTTATCCGTTTGAAAGATGTGAGACATCAATTTATTTCAAATGTCTACTATGTGCCCATTATGAAAAGTAACAGCTTAAGTTTAGGGCAACTGATAGAGAAAGGTTATGATATTCATATGAATAATTATAATCTTTCCATAAAAGATGATACGAATAACTTCATTGATAAAGTATCGATGTCAAAGAATAGAATGTTCTTGATCAACATACAAAATGATGTTGCAAAGTGCCTGAAAGCTTGCTATAAAGATGCATCATGGCTTTGGCATCTTCGATTTGGGCATCTCAATTTTGGAGGTCTAGAGCTGCTATCTAAGAAAGAGATGGTGAAGGGACAACCTCGCATCAACCATCCTGACTAGTTTTGTGAAGGGTTTCTAGTCGGGAAACAATTCAGGAAAGGTTTTCCAAAGGAGTCAGAGACAAGAGCCAAGAAGCCACTTGAGCTCATCCATACCGATGTGTGTGGACCGATCAAGTCAAGCTCTCTCGGTAACAGTAACTATTTTCTTCTCTTCATTGATGATTTTTCAAGAAAAACCTGGGTATATTTCTTGAAACAGAAGTCAGAAGTTTTCGAAGTCTTCAAGAAGCTCAAAGTAGCAGTGGAGAGAGAAAGTGGTAGAAAGATCAAAGCCATGAGATCCGACCGAGGAGGAGAATTTACTTCCAGGGAGTTTCAAGAGTTTTGTGAAGCAAATGGAATTCGTCGACCAATGACAGTTCCTAGATCCCCTCAGCAAAATGGTGTGGCAGAAAGAAAGAACAGAACAATCCTCGACATGGCACGAAGCATGCTCAAAAGCAAGAAACTACCCAAGGAATTTTGGGCGGAAGCAGTAGCGTGTGCAGTCTACTTGACAAACCAATCTCCAACAAGAAGTGTATGGGGAAAGACACCACAAGAGGCATAGAGTGGAAGAAAGCCTGGCATTTCTCACTTGAGAACCTTTGGAAGTATAGCCCATGTTCACGTACTAGATGAGAGAAGAACAAAACTTGATGATAAAAGCGAGAGTTTTATCTTTATCAGCTATGATGCAAATTCAAAAGGCTACAAGCTGTACAATCCAGATAATAAGAAGATTGTGATCAGTTGAGATGCGGTTTTCCACAAAGAAGGAGAATGAGATTTTAACTCTCATGCAGATGACTTAAATTTCTTTCCTCGGTTAAGAAGATGGGCAGATAATGAGGGAACAACTAGGTGAACCTCAATAAGAGCTTGAAACTCCACCCACTTCTCCAACATCAGCCACTCAAGGAGACTCATCACCTTCGTTATCGTTAAGTAGAAGTCAAAGTGAAAGAGTTGTGCAACGTACAAGAAGCCTTAGAGATCTCTATGAGGTAACTGAATGAAAAGATAATCTTACATTATTTTGTCTGTTTGTCGATTGTGAACCAGTGAGCTTTCAAGAAGCGGTACAAGAAAAGAAATGGAGAGATGCGATGGATGAATAAATCAAAGCCATCGAGAAGAATGACACATGAGAACTTACCTCACTTCCCAAGAGACATAAGGCGATAGATGTCAAATGGGTGTACAAAACAAAGCAAAACACCAAATGAGAGATTGAAAGGCACAAGGCGAGGCTAGTTGCTAAAGGCTATAGCCAAAAGCCTGGAATTGACTATGATAGGTATTTGCTCCTGTTGGTCGATTGGAGACTATCAGACTAATCATTTCTTTGGAAGCTCAAAACAAGTGGAAGATACAACAAATGGATGTAAAGTTTGCCTTCCTAAATGGAGTTCTTGAAGAGAAAGCCTGCAACCATCAGGCTACAAAGTCAAAGGGCACAAAGACAAGGTGTTGAAGTTGAAGAAGGCTCTTTACGGGATAAAACAAGCACCAAGAGCATGGAATAGCCGAATCAATAAGTACTTCCAAGAGAATGGCTTCAACAAGTGTCCCTACTAGCACGCTCTATATATCAATATCAAAGATGGAGGTATTTTGATCGTGTGCCTCTACGTGGATGATTTGATCTTCACCAGAAGCAACCCAAGCATGTTTAATGAATTCAAGGATGTGATGATGAAGGAATTCGAGATGATAGACATAGGGCTCATGGCGTACTACCTTGGCATTGAAGTTAAGCAATAAAAGGATGAAATTTTCATTTCACAGGAAAGCTATGCAAAGGAGATCCTGAATAAGTTCAAGATGGAGAACTGTAAGCCAATAAGCATACCGACAGAATACGGGATCAAGATTTCCAAACATGAAGAAGGCGAAAGTACAGATCCAACATTCTTCAAACGTTTGGTTAGAAGTCTACGTTATCTAACTTGCACGAGGCCTGATATTCTTCAAGCAGTTAGATTGGTTAGACGTTATATGGAATCTCCAACAACCACCCATTTTAAAGTCGCAAAGAGAATTCTTCGCTATCTGAAAGTTACAATTGACTTTGGCTTGTTCTATTCAGTTTCTAATGATTACAAGTTTGTTGGATATAGCGACAGTGATTGGGCTGGAGACATAGATAATTGAAGGAGCACTACTGGATTCATATTTTTCATGGGAGATATTGCTTTCACATGGATGTTAAAGAAACAACCGATTGTCACATTGTCCACTTATGAAGTGGAATATGTTGCTGCTACCTCATGCGTTTGTCATGCAATTTGGCATATAAATCTATTGAATGAGATGTGTTTGATACAAGAAGAGCCTACCAAGGTTTGTGTCGGCAACAAGTCAGCCATTGCCTTAGCAAAGAATCCAGTATTCCATGATCGAAGCAAGCACATCGATATTCATTACCACTATATAAGGAAGTGTATTGCAAGAAACGATGTGGAAGTTGAATATGTGAAGTCAAAAGATCAAGTTGCCGATATTTTTACCAAGCCACTGACAAGCGAAGACTTCATAAGATTAAGGAACTTACTAGGAATCATAAGATCAAGTTTAAGGGGGGTATTGGATCATAAACTTGATCCATTATGGGAGCCTAAACCCAAACCCAAACTAAATTGATGGCATTGCTTACATCAATTAAATGAAGATGGCATTGCTTACATCAATTTAGTTAGGTGAGAGTTAGGTATTTGTAGACTAATGGTTTAAATTATTTTATTTGTGTGGTATAGGATTGTTCTTGAGTAGTATAAATATCCCTCCCCATTTTAGTTTAAGCATCAAGAAAAATTAAGAGCTTCTAAGTGAGCTTCTTATTTTTGAGTGAGA